CCACCCCAGGCATGGTGGGCGAGCCGGGACCCCGGGACGGGGAGGGAGAGGACGGAGGGGGCAGGAGGGCAACGGCAGAAGCGCGTTTCCCGCAAGCGGCCCCAGAGCTGAAGGCGAGACGCGCTTTGGCACGGGAAAGCGCAGGCAGGGCCAAGGGCTGAGCTAAATCTCTGCAGCGGATGGGGCCTGGGCACGGGAGGAGGGCGCAGAGCTAGCGAGGGAGGGCAGAGGGCCCCTGCGGGTGTGGGGGACCAGGGGGTGGCATTTGGGTTGTGTGTGTCCCCCCCCCTTCCCTCCTCTCCCCTTTTTTCCCACTGATGCTTCAGACTCAGGGCTGCAGCTCTGCCTCCTCCGTCCCGTCCCCGCCGGCGCTAGGGTCGTGGGTGCAGAGGAGCCCAGAGCCGAGGACCTGTGGCTGAAGGCGGAAGCAACTCCACTCCTCTCGCGTTAACCAAAAAAGGCTGAAGCGAGCAGGGCAGGATGTGGCAGGGAACCCCCAGGCTGCTGAGCTTAGGCAGGGAGGGGCGAACCCCTCCCAGCTCTCCCCACGCTGCCCTTCCCCAAAGCCTGGAGCCACGGGGAGGGGAAGGAGCCCCACGTCCCTCACCTTGCCCCGTCCATCCCCACCGGAGAAGCTGACAGGCCAGCGCTCCGTGCCTGGCCGGAGGCAGTAGTTGGGGGAGCCAATTCCGCTTGCATTTTTCTCTCATGACTCAAGAGTTTCTCCTCTGTCCAGACAGGGCAAGGGGAGGGAAAGGGCGAGGCAGGCCAATCTTGCCAGATAAGCAGCCCCAGCCAAACCGTGCTGGAGACCATGGAAAAAAAATACCCAGCACATTGCTGTGGTTGCAGCGCAAGCTTTTCCCAGTCCAGGACACTCTGCTGGGAGCTGACATCTCCCCAGGGGATTTTCCATGAACCACTCCCCAATCCTTTGGGTCCCTCCCACACCACAGTGCTGTGCCAAGGCATCAGAGAAATTACTACCAAAGAAAAATGCAGCCGGACTGGTTGGGCATAGGCGACTCCTTGAGGAAAGCAGTTGCAGGAGGCCCCCCTCAGCCCAGCCTTCCTCCAGAAAGAGTCTTGCTCTTCTGCAAGCCCAGAGCTCCCTGCAATGCTCGCCTGAACTTGCTCTTGCTCCTGCAGCCCACGGAGACTGAACGCTGCATCGAGTCCCTGCTGGCCGTCTTCCAGCGGTACGCGGGGCGCGAAGGGGACAACCGCACACTCTCCAAGAAGGAGTTCCTGGCCTTCATGAACACCGAGCTGGCCGCCTTCACGAAGGTGAGCAAAATCCAGGCTAAAAAGAGCCTCCTGTAGCGTGCGCTTCAGCCCCCGGGGACAGCAGTTAAAGCCTCTGCCCCCACAAGCGCGGTGGGGTGGGCAATGGGAAGAGCTCGTCGGAGCGCAGCCTGACGAGACTTGGCCTGAGTGAATTCTGCCTCCCCCTGCCAATCCCTCTCCACTGGCGACGAACTCGGCAGCTGCGGGTCCATACCTGGGGCGGTTC